CACGTTCCAGCGTTACACGCATATGGCCTTTTAAGTAATAAGCCCATGTGGATGTCATATGCCACGGTGTCTCGTGCCATCATGGCGCCATGTGACAACCTGACGTCACTTGACATAATGTCGTCACATGACATTGTGATGTCACGTGTCAGCATGGTGTCGCGTGACTCATAAATCGACCAGTCGATCGATCGACTGTTTTCCAGATTAAAAACTATTAGCATGCCAAATGTGAAAAATTCAAACGCAGCGATCTAATAGCTGTAACCTTTTAAGATGAAAGGGTGAATATTAATAGACGCTTTTGGTTTGGTTTCGTTCTCAATCACATGGGTTCCGTATCTGGTATGCAGGACGAAAACATATAAAACGTTTCACCTGGAATATGCAAGAAAACATAGGTGAGGCAAAACAATAATGTGTAACAATCCCGCATTTTTTGTGAGCGCCTTCCAGCGGCGTGGAGAAATCAAAACGATGTTTTTGACGCATATCAGAAATGACGACATTCAAGATTGCTGCTCCGTTGTGTAAAAGATGTGTAGGCTTTCATACTGCGGTTCTATTTCAGGCATGATTTGCTGCGTAACATTTTGCGGTGCAAGCGAATTCGGGTCCTCTCCGAATAACATCGTTTCAAGCCATGAAATACCATCTCACCCACTTGAGTGAGCGAGATGACTTCAAGCAATCAACAGAGACCAATTCCGTACCAAAGTAGACGCCGTCATTTCAGAAGCTAAACAGGCGTCGTCAACGGCTCATTGAACCCAGCCTTGCGAGATTCAATTTCGATTCGCTGTATATTTGCAGCATGCAGCGCTTTTTTCCCCTCTAACAACCCATATACGTTCTTAGGTCATTTTCTAATAAATAGCTTGCCTTTAGGGCGAGAAGCGAGCAACCACACATTCTGGCCGGCATTTCTGTACATCTTATTTTAGTTGCAAAAAGGCCTGCATCGTGGTGAAGCAGTTTAGCAGGGGGTGGAATTTGTAAAGGGTTCATAAAACATCACTGGAATATAAACAAAAATGAGCCAAACACTATTATAAAGAAAGAGTGTACGAAAAAGTAATTATTCACAAAAGCTTTCGGCTGGTCCCACAATTTTCAATAGACGTAATAAACGAAGTTTGGGGATTTAGTACTTTCTCGGGTATTACCTTCTCGGTTCCATGTTCTTATTAACGCAGATGCAGATACCAAGTAAAACTCGATCGAGCATACACTGGAGAGGACGAATTTATATTATTCTGCTGGTGCCTCTAGCTCTATAATGCTCTGAATGACTTAATTCAGTTTCATGCGAAGCGAAGCATGGTTTTTACCGCATATCTGCATCACGAGCTCCACCACACGAAAACCATAAGCCCTATTTTCCCGGTCACTTGCTATGGCGCGTGCGTTTTTTTGTTACCTTTCGTTCTCAGTCACGTAGCTTCCGTATCTGGTATGCGGGACGAAAAAATAAGAGGACATTTCAACCTGGAATATGCGTGAAAATATACGTGAGGCAAAACAAGAATATTCGACAATCACGCATTTTTCGTAAACACCTTCCAGCGGCGTGGAGACATCAAAACGATGTTTTAAAGCATACCAGAAGTGACGACATTCAAGATGGCTGCGCCCTTGTAGAAGAGGTACGTGTATAGAAGGCTCTGGCTCAGGTATGGCCGCCAGTGAATACCACCTATTCGCTTCGAGATGTTTGGGTATGGTCGCCAGGTGGCATTTTTGACAACCCAGAGTGATGATACGTCTAGGAGTTTGGGCTAGTTGGTATGCAGACGTGATTAAAACAAAACAGCGCAAACACGGGGACAAAGTGAAAGATAACCGACAAAACACAGTGCTGCACCTTTTACCTTTTACTTTGTCCTCGTCTTTGCGCTGTTTTGTTTTTAACTATGTCAGATTGATGATACTTTAACTTCCTCTGCTGGTGCAAGTACGTGCAATACCAAGATTCTAGGTACTCTGAAAATTAAAACATAACCGCGTCGGTAGAACCTGCGTTACCCAAAGTGAGGGGGGATCGGTGGACGAGTGGGACTAGCACACACCAGCTCGGAGCACGTGGAGCGAAAGCTCGCGCTGCAGAACCCAGGGATTCTGGGTTCAATCGCCACCCTTGCCTGTTTCGATCTGAATGAGCATCGTACCGGCTTGCGGTCGAGTATCGCTACTGCGTGGTGCACGTTAAAGACCCAGGCTAGCGGTTGTACTGCACTGGCTAAATTGCTCTTCCACAGTGAGTGACTCGTCACAACTTTGATATGGTTGACCAACTACAGGCTGTATATAAGCATCCACACAACCCCAATTATTTACCTAAAGTGAGGAAAACAGAAACGCCCTTAGCGAGCTTCTCGCCGCGAACTGTGTTATATGAACGGCTAGACAGCCGGAAGTTAGCCTGAAGGCTGAAAGACGAGCGACTCGTCTTTCAGCTGCAGGTGGAAAATTTAGCCAGTGCAGTACAACCGTCAGCCTGGGGTCTTTAGCATGCACCACGCAGTAGTGATTCACAACCGCACGCCGGCACGATGCTCATCTAAATCGAAACAAGCAGGGGTGGGGATTGAACCCCGAATATCTGGGTACTTCATCACTCCGACGTTCTGATTGGCTTAGGAGCGAGCGATGCCAAATGCACGAGGGCGAGCGCTATGCTCTGAGCATGCCATGCCGTGCACGCGCGCTCGTTAAAGTGAAAGCGTCGTTCGAGGCAAAACCGCCCGCGCTTCGCTCAGCAAGCTGTGCTCAAATCCGCGATGTCAAAGACGGTGGCGCCGCAGTTCGGAGCACGTGGACCAGTGGCGTTGGCAGGGGGGTTAGTTAAAGATCAATGCTCCCCCCCCCCCCCCCCACAAAAAAAAAAAAAAAAAATAAAAAAAGAAAGAAAACAATACTTTAATGTTTGTTTCTGTTATTAAAGGAAGACAAATATTGAATGATACCGAACTGTTCCAACCAGCCGGGGAGAGGTGTCGGGGACGGCCGTGTCCGTACCAGTCAATTGTATGGTACATCGACTACTACACGGAAAAGTGAGACAATGTCCCCACTCCCCCCCCCCCTCCCCCCCCCTCCCCCCCCCCCCTCCTTCCCCCTCTTCCCCCGTTAATGAAAGTCAAACGAAAATAATTCCTGGCTACGCTATGGCGTAGCCAGGAATTATTTTCTTTGGACTTTCGGTCCACGTCAGTGCACTGACGATGACCGAAAGCTTGCGCTGCACAGCTCATGGATCCAATCCAGATCCCTGCCAGTTTCGATCTAGATTAGCATCGTACCGGCAAGCGGTCGTGTGTCATCATATACTGTGTGACGCACGTTAAAGACTCTCATTTACAGCTGAGACTCTAGACGCTCATTGGAGCTAGCTTCCGGCTGTATAAACACACACACAACACAATTACCGCAGGCTAGCAGTGAATGACATTTCGATAACGACATATAAACTGCATTACGCAACCCCAAGCTTCATAAGCGACAATATCACAACTCAGCGGCGATAATTTATTTAAAAAAAAACAAAAAACATATACGCCTACTGTAGTAGAAATATACGTATAGACGGTCTAAGGCTTGCCGGATCTGCCATTGCGTAACTGTTTCCCGGTTAATATCGTCGTTTTCCTGCTACGAGACGCGCCCAAAGATTGCCACGCATCGTGTCACCTCCTGTCGATGGCGTATGAAGCAACAACAAAAAAAGTGCAAGAGGGTCTATGAACTACAGCTGGTTACTGAAAAAAAAAAAAAAGAAACATGGGACGTACTGTTTTATTTTTAATTTTTAAAGGTTATGAAATGATGTTTGTAACTAAGTCTATCATACAAACCACTCGCCGAAACAAACATATTGTTATGTCTGCGGCGTTAATATATGCTCGAGAGCCGTGGACAAAACGCGTGCAGACCGACGAGTTTTCATTGACGGCTTTCTGGTTGCGCGTAGCCTTCTGTAACGTCGTTTTGTCGGTATATCGGGCGTACACGTAGCCACGTTTCAGTACAATTCCCCTTCTAGAACACTGTGGTTTCAGTGCGGATCAGATGAAGTCAGCATGCAAAAATTTTAATTTTTCGATTTTAAGAGCTCACTTTTACTTTATTTGTGCATATACATGTCAGCAAATTGATTCTGGTGTTAGTTTTCTCCTTATGTGTCGCTTAACCTTCTATCCCTTCGTTTTTTTTTTTTCGCATATTAAGACGAGGCGCGTTCATTGGGAAGATCTCTCTCGCGGCAGCCTGGTTTTATTCGCTTTGTTCCTCTTTTTACATGCAAAGATTGATCTGGCTGACTAATAAATCCCTCGTTACGTTCGTCATAAAAAGATAGAAACAAAACTAAAGCCAAGAAATGGTCAATCATCCAGCGTGTAAATGTGTCACAAGCAAACCTGCACACTGAACGGAGAACGCTACAAGTAAAGCATAAAGGACGAATAGAGAAGCAAACGGCTTCACGCCAAGAAAGAACAGCTGCCGGCAGCAGTCTCTCTTTCGCGCCATTTCTGCGAAGCGTCGCATCCTCCGACGCTGACGCAAGCGACTGCACGTATGAAGACACTTGATATAGACACGTCCTTGAGAGGAATCAGGCGGGTTTCGACACTCCCTACTTTACCTGTCACCCTTTCGCATTTTTCGGACGATCGCGTGAAACCATAGTAATGCGACCCCGACAAAAGTTAATAATAGACCAGGGTACGACATAGCGAGAGAAAAAAAAAAAAGAAACGTTCCTATGTTACATCTTTACTTTTAATACAGACGCCCCTTTAGTAAGCTGCAAGGATGTCCCGCCGATACGACAATCCGAAAGAAGACAGGCGTCCGCAATAAAATACACGTCAAGGCCGTGGGCCTCCGTTTCGTAATGATAAAGTGAGTCAATGAAGTCAGCTGGTCAGTGGCGCCATCGACCGAACTACACCAGCAACTTTATCGCCGTCTGCGCCCTTAGGAAAAGTAGAGGGCAGCGACGGCAACAAACCGGTTTTTCTGGGCTCATTGTCTGCGTCTTCGCTCTCGGTCGGCCAGGTGTCGCCACCAACGGGATACCGGAGCGGCAATCTGCTTCCGCGTTTGCCTCTCCCAGTGACCGACTTGACGATGCGGCTTCTTCAAACCGGTATCTTGACAGCTCCGAGAAAGACCCACGGTAGTGCGCTCTCAGCTGCTTCTTGGCTCTTGACGCTCCTCATCGCATATCCCGCTCTCTGCTCCAACGCCCGCATCTTTGCCGAGGATGTCGTCCCATACGGGATCTATGGTTCTCGTCACCGGAGCTTCCGGCTTCATCGCCGTTCACGTGGTCCGGGCCCTCCAGAAGCAAGGCTTCAGAGTCCGCGGTACAGTCCGCGACACAAAGAACGAGCGCAAGACCAAGCCTCTGAAGGACTGCTGTCCTGATGCCAAGTACCCATTGGAACTGGTGGAAGCCGACCTGCTGAACGATGCCGGCTGGGCCGAAGCCATGACCGGATGCCAGTATCTGGTCCATGTGGCCTCCCCGTTCCCGAACGCTGAACCCAACCACCCAGACGACGTGATACGCCCCGCCGTCGAAGGAACTCGTCGAGTCCTCAAGTTTGCGTCCGAGTCGGGCACCGTGAAGCGTGCGGTCATCACGAGCACAATGGGCGCCATTCACGGCGAGGTCGACGACCCGGCCGATCGTGAGTACAACGAGGGCGACTGGACCAACGTGGACTTCAAGGGACTCGAGACGTATGCCAAGAGCAAGACCCTCGCCGAGAAAGCAGCCTGGGACTTCGTGAACTCCCTGCCTGCCGGTAAGAAGCTGGAACTTGCCACCGTCAACCCTTCCCTCGTGTTCGGTCCCCCGCTGCACGGCACCTATGGCACCAGCGTGGAGGTCATCAAGCGGCTCCTTGACAAGACGACTCCGCTGATTCCGTACGTGAACTTTGCCATCTGCGACGTCCGCGACGTGGCTAAGGCGCATGTCCAGGCGCTCGTAGTCCCCGAGGCAGCGGGTAACCGCCACATCGTGAATGCCGGCAACGTGTGGCTCAAAGACGCGGCGCAGATGCTTCGTGAGGAACTGTCCGGGCAAGGGTATTACATACCGTTCTTATCGGCGCCAAACATAGGACTCTGGCTCGTCGGGTTCGTAGACAAGTCGGCCAGGATGCTCTACCCGCGGCTGGGGAAGGTGTTCAAGTTCAGCAACAAGCGGATGAGGGAGGTGCTCAAGGTTGAACCGCGTTCCATCAAGGAGACTGTCCTGGACACAGCACATGGGCTTATCCAAGCTGGGATTATTCACGAGGCTCCCAAGTATGCACGGAAAGAGTTTGCATTGGATTAAGGATTACCATCGTTTATAATCAAGGATGGATGCTGTTTCTTCGTTTTGTACCGAGTTGAATAAGTTTTGACGCTTTTATCGGTAACACCGACCACTGATCTTCCAACAGTACTGGTCTTCGGTGTCTGGACTTCGACGTCTCCAGGGACGGATTGACTGAAAACTGCGTTGACTTCGTTTACCATTTATACTGAGCAGCTGCAACGCGTTCTATATTATAAATTGTAGAGATTGCATCGTTATCTTGCACATCTACTCCGCCCTGCCAACTGTTTTTCTCTTGTTTAGTGTAGGAGGTTTAGGCCCCAACACGGTCGGGAACATTCGACAACGAGTGCGCGTCACAGTATTTATTGGCTCGGTGTCAGGAAGGCTGTTGTGCACAATAAACATAATTTCGTTTTTTTTTTAATATAAAATGTGAACTGTAACTTTCTTTCATTATTGGTCGAGCATGCTGTAACGACAAAGGAAAACAATTCTGGATATTGCAACAAAGTCGTTGAAACGAACTCATGCAGGTGACCATTTGTTCTTAGTTGTGATCAGGCAGGTCTTCTCCCAGCAAGAAAACAAATGTGTTTCGGTTCTGATTTTTCTGTTGAGGAGCAGGACTTTTGATTGGCCATTAACTTTATGTATATTTTACGTGGAAACGACTTATGATGTTTTTATTTCTTGAAGCAAGTTTGCACTTATATCAGAACTAAAAAAATATCTTTAAACCCCGCACATATTTTCCTGCTCGCTCAGGTCTTACAGGTTTCCCTGACATCCAGTGAGACTCTAAACACACACATGAATTCATTACATTTGACAAAAGAACGAGGGAAAGAGCTGAATGCATCCGAGTGTCCGTTTATGTTCCTTTTTCTGAAAGCTCTTCGAACCATTTACTCAGAGTCCGAGCAATGAAACCGCTTTCCTAACGATCAAAACTGCATCGATCGAAAGCGGCTCCCTAAAACTCCACCGTTTACGAGTAATCGTTGGATTCACTGAAGACGTAGCGTTCCAGATGAACCGCCCCACTGTTTGCTAAAGGGTTAGGAATGTGTTATCGTGCTTCTGATAATTGTGTACTCCCTGAAACAATTGTCGTTCTGTCCTACTTCAGTGGCCGGTACACACTGCGGTTGGCGAGGCTTTCAAGCGATAACACCAGAGCTTTCAAACGCCAATGTAGCAAAAAGGGGCCATCGGAGAGCCAGGTAGGAAGGATGTGTTCCTGGTCCTTTTTGTGGCACGCTACGAGGGTACCGATTGCCGAGTAGATACTATTTGCTAGGTCTTAATATATCATATAAGGTCTGATATTGTTTTGGAAGCTATTGTACTTTGGTAAAGATACATGAACTGCGGCCTGTTTCCGGAAGTTACTAAAAAAAAAAAAAAAACCGATGACCACCTACGATTGACGTACGCAATAAGTCTTCCTCACTTCATGAATTAAAATACTAAGATGAAAGTGAAAAAAAATAATGTTTGTACTTCGACATACACGTCGCTGTTGAAGTCTTTCTGGATTACTGTGGCCTGTTCCGGTGGTATATCGAGCGCCGACTATGTGCCACTTGTTTGGCCATATGATCATTATGTTCACGCTTTTTGATTTGTGATTGATTGGTTTTTCGACGATCTTTTGGGCTAGTTCCACAATCTGATTGGCTGTGGAGTGATACTAAGCAGACTTGTGCCCGTTACTTGAAAAATATAATGGATTACAATCACAAATTACCGACCCTTAATTGTCATAGATTACCGTTACAAATTACCGACCCTCAAATGTAATGGATTACCGTTACAAATTACTTTCGCTGGAAAGTAACGGATTACTTTGTTCGTTACATTACTAATTACTTTCACGTCACTTTTCCCGTACACTTATCAAGAAATAATAAAAACAATCTTGATGTTTCCGAAAATTTCTGCAGAACTAGATTTCATTTCTCACACGCTCACATTATCGTAGTCTTTATAAAAAATAAAATATTGTATTTAAGAAAAAAAAAATGTAAAAGCACTCCATTCACCTGTAGGCTGACAAAAAAGCGAAAGCTGCAAACCCGCCATCCCGCCAGCTCACGGCGACCGGGAATGATTCCTGGAATTCTGCCGACAAATCTAGTGGTACGCATGCTCAGTAGCAGCATCTACCTCCGCTAGGAGATCAAGAAGACAACGCCTACTCGCCTGTTTTTTTTATCTTTGTTTTTGCATTTGTACAAACATTGCACGTTTTTCTAGTGATTCTAGTGACCGGAGGTACAAAAAATCTTGTTATCTTTTTGGTTATTCTAGCTCCTCTGCGGAATGTTTTCTATTTTGTTGAAACTGCTATCCTTATGCTGCTGAAGTGGCTGCTCCTATTGTTCCAATTTTCGTATTATATTCATTTATTTTTAAGTAACGAGTAATTGAAGCAACCCGTTACCAATATTTTTAACGAAATTACATTACAAATTATTGCCACAAAAAAGTAACGTGGCAATTACAAAATTACTCGAAAAAGTAAAGGATTAAAAGTAATCTGTTACTTGTAACAGATAACTTCTTAAGTCTGATACTAAGGTCGCTGGGACTCACCATTCCCTGCATTTATTGAGCTGTCAGTGACTAATGCATTATCTCGGGCCAGAAGGTTTTCTACAGTTGGATGCGATCATTGTTTCCTTCTATTCGAAGCTTTCACGGCATATAGGGGGCGCACCAGTTTCTTTCAAAATGGCTGTCATCTGGATGATCGTTGTAGTGACAGCAGTAGGAAGTTGGGTCTGGGACGCGTAAGTGATTGTAATTTCGTGAAATACGAGCGATATAAGAACATTACTTCACATTCGCACGTCAGAAAGGTGTAAACAAGCATCCGCATTCCGATGCTGATCATCCAGAGGCTAGGGAGCGCGATTCTCGCACAGCGGTACGTACCACAATCGCTGAAAGTTATGAATACTTCGGCAAGACACACCCACTGCGGCTTATTTCTAACGCCGATCTAACCAGGAGATTTAAGGACCTTATGAGATTCAGGCATCGAGGAGGTTTTTCTTGCTCTTTGTGAACGGTTTTGATAGTACCGAGTGCCGTGTCCATCTCCCAGATGTCTACACTGCAGAGAAAGGCGTGCACCACAGGGCCGTGTGCCTAACTCAGCAGAATTATTTTGTTTGCTCGAGAACTCGAAGACACTTTACAAAGCCACGTGTTCGAGTCCGTATTTGCTTAGATTTGGTGCGTTTTCTCGGCATTGATGCCGTCCACAGATGAAGTGATCGTCGTTTTGTTCTACTCTGGTAAGATACATATACACTCCGGCTTCTTTCAAACGCCGCTGAACCCAAAAAGACTGATGACCGCCTGAGATTCAGTTATCGAGGAAGTCTTCCTGTCTGGTCCGCTTCGGTGGCACCGACGTGCTGAAATGCGCCATCACTGTGGACAGGTCGGGGTCGGTGGAGACGAGAGCACCGGGCATCATCGCGACGGCGCGGCTAGGGCGTCGTTTTTGCTGGGCAGTGCTTGTTTGGTCCCCGACGTAGTCGCGCGCTCGGTCACGGTTTCTGTGTCATGGCGGGACCGGGCCAAGTTCAGGAGGAACCGGTTTTTTCGGGGCGAGAGCCCGCCCGTGGGCCGTCACGTGGGAGCCGTTTCCTGATGGCCCACATCAGGGAGACGATTGCGATGGAGAGACGTGCTCTCGAGTTTGCGCGCACAAAGATGGAGCGAGCTGAAGGAAACCTGGCTGTCCGTTTGCAGTTTCTGAATCCAGTAGAGAGATTTTTTTAAATCTTTTGTTATTATTTATTTTCTTTTTTTGCTGCCACGGACAACATTTTTGAAACGTCGGGCATCGTGATAAAGCCAGTTTGGAGTTCAGCGTGCCTCGCGGTCAGTTGGCTTGCTCCGTAAATTCCTTCATCACTTCGTGGGACGCTTGAGTCGTTTGAGTTCACGAATCTCTGAAAAATGCGAGAATTAGACCGATTCTAGCAGCTGACTACGGTAAAACGTTTGGACTGGAGCTACATAACAAACATTAGCAGGGGTCTCAAACTCGTTCGAAGGTGGTGGTCGGGTAGCTTACCCCCGAAAGGTCGAGAGCCAGCGAGTGGCACCTCGTATCAACGCTCAATTTTTATTGTCTTGTGGAAACCGCTATCTTGTTGAATAGTGAAAATAGTGCATTCCGGAGATCAATACCAACACTCATATTTTAATAATTTAGGAAACACAAACAAATTACGGAGTTTCACGTTGCAAAATGCCGACTGTCCCAGCAACACCCCAGAGATTTTCTGGAGTTTTCAGCTTTTTGTAGCCTCGCCGTTTTCTAGAGACATGTTTAGCCTTGATTTGCATATTCGTCTACTTTGGAGCCACACCTGATGTGATAACCAAAATTAGAACGTGAAACTGCTGGCAGTTTCCAATTAAACACGATTAATCACACCTGTCGTTGCCCTATCACGCTATTCACAAGGGTCACCAGTCATGGAAACAAATAGCTTTTTATACAGCAGTTTGTGCCTCCCTGACAATTTTGATTGTATCCTTATAAGAAAAGACTTACATTTTCAATGCATCTTCTGACAGCCAGAAGCCCAAGCTGGTAGCTTTAGCTTTGGCAGTTGCTTCTGCTGAGCTAAAGTTCATGCAGCTGAGGTCATATGCGTAGACTTCGGGGGGCATCGGGGCTCGTGTCCCCCCTAGTGAGACCCGGGCCATGATCCTTACCGAGACGCTGTTTACGTGCCATGCAACGAGCTTCTAGTAGTGGCATGTAAAACAAAATAACACCCACGTTGCCTTTATTGACAAAATACATGGAAAATAGAGTCCCAGCATGCTTTCGTTAGCTTCCAATGTCCAGTCCTGGCGAAAAGGTAACGCTCAGCACCCGCCCCCCCCCTCCCCCCCCTCCCCCCCTTTGGGATAATGAAAAGTGTACGCCGCTGGCTGAGGTGCCTGTTTGAGCAAAGGTCGCGCTTATTGTCTACTAGCGGTATTGTAGTTCCGGATGATTTACGCGAGAAAGGGCCGAGAAGCAAATATTTAGACGAAGCGATTCTCAGTCGGAAGGAAACAATATATAGCAACATTTGTGAACACGTGATTACAGATGAGCTCCTTTGCGAGCGAAAATGAATCGACAATATGAAACTATTATTTGTGCACGGCATGTAGCGCTCAAGGCACGAGAGCGGTTGTTCGCAGACAGGATGCTTGCGGGCTGCGTCCCAAAAAGTCACGGCCGCATGCGGCCCGCGGGTCGCGTGTTTGAGATCCCTGATGTATGCGCTTAGGATATCAACACTCAACTTTTATTGTCTCGTTGACACCGCCATCTTGTTGAATAGTGGAAGTAGTGTATCCCAAAGAATTGCTGCTCCCTGTCGGAAGCTTGGTT